CCGAAATGGGTTTTCCCTTTTTGGGGTAATACCCTGTGCCTTTCAAAACTCTCTTCTCCTCCACCGGAGCAAGGGGGCTTGTTTCTACACCTCCTTTTTTAGGGGGGATGACTCAGCGTCATTACACACCTCGGGGAGCACGATGTGTCTCAGTGTGTGTGTGTGCATGTCAGTGTGTGCATCAATGTATGTGTGTGTATTAGAGCGTGTGTGTCGTCGTCCCCCCCCCCCCCACAACAATGTCATTGGCCTCGACCCCCTGTTATATTGGAGAAGTAGCAGAGTAAAGAGACGCACAAAAACACATGGCAACAGACCCCATTCTCTCTCTCTCTCTCTCTCTCTCTCTCTCTCTCTCTCTCTCTCTCTCTCTCTCTCTCTCTCTCTCCCTCCCCACAGGTCATTCTGCCCTCCTCCTCTCCAGCCTATTCCTCCTAGCGTCATGGTTACACATCAGGGGAGATGGGAGAGAGGGGGGCAGAGGGGGGAGAGAGAGAGGCAATTGTACTTTAGATTTTTTGCCAATGTTATACCAATAAAGCTATTTAAATATTAATTTGAGAGAGAGAGAGAGAGAGAGAGAGAGCACCACAGAAAGAGACACAGTGGGAGAGAGAGAAAGAAAGCACAGGGGAATCATTTTGTGGTTGTTGTCTGTTTTATTTTCAGTCCGTCATCCTCCAGTCCTCCCCTGGTAGAGATGGGTCCCTCCTGGACCATCCGAGCTTCATGTCGAGTAGAACCAGCCTGCCTGCCTAACCCTGTTGCCCAGAACCACAGACACAGCTACATCCCAAATGGCACCCTATTCCCTACATAGGGAACTTATTTTGATCAGAAGTAGTGCACTATACAGGGAATAGGGTGCCATTTGGGACGCACACACAGACAGAGACAGAGAGCAGCAGTCAATTGAAATGAATGGACCGTCCAGTGGAGGCTTGCTGTGGCTAAATGGAAATGTCAAGCGCACATCGGATTCCCTTTGTCCGTCCCTTCAAGGCTCTGTCTCACTAGGGAGTGCAGAGCTTTTCACTGAATAATACCACGACCACTGAAAAACTGAATACAGAAAAACATCCCATTTCAATTCCACATATGGTCATCCCTCTTTAGAGGTGGATGGAGAAAGAGAAAGAGGGCTGGATAGAGAGAGAGAGGAAGAGAAGGAGATAGATGGAGAGGTTAGAGGATTATTATGTGAGGAATCCATTGTGTGGGATTTGCTGCGCTCTTCTAATGTCTCTCCCCAGGTGGCTCAAGGCTTAGCGACACACTTTGATACACATAAACACAAAGGAGCAGAGAGAGAAACCACCTGCTTATGCTCTCAGGTACACCTGCACAGACAGAGAGAGACAGACATTTTATACAGTACATTTACATTTTAGTCATTTAGCAGACGCTCTTATCCAGAGCGACTTACAGTTAGCGAGTGCATACATTTTCATACTGGCCCCCCGTGGGAAACGAACCCACAACCCTGCCATTGCAAGCGCCATGCTCTACCAACTGAGCTACAGTACACACACATACACAGAGTGATAGGATGAGATAGTAGAGCGAGAGACACTCACAAAGTTAACTTTTCACTCTGTAAGTGGAAAGGGACGAACAACAATCAATAGCACAATCAAGTGAAGTTCAATAACAAACCAATTGAGCTGCTAGCTGAGTGTCCGGGAGACTCAGTGGTGAGTGACCAGCAGCACACAGGATGGGATCGTCTACTGGATTATCCCGTTACACTGAGAGAGGAGAGAAAACCTGAAATGCTGCAAAGCAAACTGTTTGTGTGTGTGTCAAATAAAATAAAATTGTATTGGTCACATACACGTGTTTAGCAGATGTTATTACGGGTGAAGCGAAATGCTTGTGCTTCTAGCTCCGACAGTGCAGTAATATCTAACAAGTAATATCTAACAATTTCACAACATATACCCAATACACACAAATCTAAGTAAGGAATTAATTAAGAATATATACATAAATGGATGAGCGATGTCAGAGCGGTATGGATTAAGATACAGTAGAATAGTATAGAATACAGTATATACATATGAGATGAGTAATCCAAGATATGTAAACATTATTAAAGTGGCTAGTGTTCCATTTCTTAAAGTGGCCAGTGATTTCTAGTCTATGTCTATAGGCAGCAGCCTCTAATGTGCTAGTGATGGCTGTTTAACAGTCTGATGGCCTTGAGATAGAAGCTGTTTTTCAGTCTCTCTGTCCCAGCTTTGTTCCACCATTACCTGTCCCCGGTAATGCGTTGGGCAGACCGCACCACCCTCTGGAGAGCCTTGCGGTTGCGGGCGGTGCAGTTGCCGTACCAGGCGATGATACAGCCCGACAGGATGCTCTCAATTGTGAGGGTTGTAGGTGCCAAGCCGAATTTATTTAGCCTCCTGAGGTTGAAGAGGCTCTGTTGTGCCTTCTTCACCACACTTTCTGTGTGGGTGGTCCATTTCAGTTTGTCAGTGATGTGTACGCCAAGAAGCTTTCTACCTTCTCCACTGCGGTCGCGTCAATGTGGATAGGGGGGTGCACCCTCTGCTGTTTTCTGAAGTGCATGATCATCTCCTTTGTTTTGTTGACGTTGAGTGAGAGGTTATTTTCCTGGCACCACACTCCCAGAGCCCTCACTTCTTCCCTGTAGGCTGTCTCGTCATAGTTGGTAATCAAGCCTACTATTGTTGTGTGTGTGTGTGTGTGTGCGCGTAAGTGTGCCCGTGAGCCTGGGCATCTCCGCCTGCGTCTGACAAGGACATCTTTAGTCATTATCTGGAGCCTGCTTTGTCATAAGTAATCAGCTGATAGCAGAGAGGTGTGAAGTGTGATGGACCAGACTCTGAGCTGCCATCTTTAATCCAATCCCACATCTATTACCAGACAGACTGGGAGAAAGAAAGAGGGGGAGAGAGAGAGAAGGAGAGAGTGAGAGGGAGAGAGAGAGGTGGGGGGGGAGGAGAAAGAAAGAAAGATAGGCAGAGGGAGAGGAAAAGAAAGAGAGACAGAGAGAGAGGAGGCGATGGTGGCACCACAGACCCCTTTCATCTAGCTAGATGCCCTGTGACAGGTGCTAAGTGCATTGATGTCTCTGTGACATAACAATGCAAATCATTGTCAGAAATGTCATAGACAGACACACAGCAGCGTTATCTACAGCAAGAGAACAAAGAGGGATGAATGTCTTCTGGTTGCCTTCAACACACGTCATAGGAATCAGCCATTTTGGCTCTAAAGGGAAACGTGATTTAATCAACAGATTTCGCTTGGTTACAAAAGCACAGATCTTGACAGTTGTGCTTGCACATGTTTTCTTTACGCCTAAGGCTACTTCCCAAATCTCCACTTTTCTCCTAAAAGTGTACACTTTTATACTCACCATCATGAGGTACAATGCACTTTCCCCCACACCCACACATGCACACAACACATGTACTTACACATGTATACATGCATGACCATTGAACTTGTTGACACACAAGCAATCACACACATGGACACACACATACACACAGTTGGTTTTGCCTGGGTAACAGCAGGCTAAATCACATAGACCCCTTTGTGTACACGTTTCTCCTACTACTGGCAGAGTGGTACTGTGATTGTCACCACCACGTCCCCCTTCTGGAAGAGGGGAGGGAGGGATGGATGGATGGAGGGAGAGAGGGAGAGAGGTAGAGAGGGAGGGGGCCGAAGTTATAGAAAACTGTCATTATCCCCCACATCTTGCTCATGAGCAATTCACCATGGCCCAGCACGACCCTTAAGAGGGAGACTGGGCGGAAATGATAGAAAACTGTGGTTGTCCCTCTATGTCCCCTGAATCATTCCCCATGCTCCAGCAAGGCCAGGAGGGAGGGATGGAAGGAGAGAGGAAAGAAGGAATGTGAGAGAGGGAGGTAGAGAGAGGAGAAAGAGGCAAATGGGGAGGGAAGGAGGAGTGAAAAGGGAGATAAAAGATGGAGGAAGAAGCAAGAGGGGGAGGAAAAGGCAGCGAAAGAGAGAGAGAGAGAGAGAGAGAGAGAGAGAGAGAGAGAGAGAGAGAGAGAGAGAGAGAGAGAGAGAGAGAGAGAGAGAGAGAGAGAGAGGGTGGTGTCCTTGGACTGTTTATCTGGGCCAGCCGGAGCCTCAACGACTCAGCAAGGCCATGACGGTGCGCTGTCATTGTTCCCTGGTTTTGTTGTGGCGCTGTATATTATTATTTAATCGAGCTAACTAATGGACCCGAGGCAGAGGCAAGTGCCACCGTGCAACTCAGCAGGTAGAGGGGAGGAGGGAAGGATGGGCGAAGAGATGGATGGAGGGAGGGAAGGGGGGAGGAGAGGACAGAGACAGAGAGAGAGAGAGAGAGAGAGAGAGGAGAGAGAGAGGAGAGAGAGAGAGGAGAGAGAGAGAGAGAGAGAGGAGAGAGAGGAGACAGGATAGGAGAGGTGGAGGGAAATATTGTTACAGGAAATATTCTACTGAGCAAATTATTAGTCTTTAGAAAGGGGTTAGGGTCAGTGTTGTAGTACCCGAGTCCGGTCTCGAGACCACATATTGAGTGTCTTGGTCTTGTCTTGGTGTCTGATACATTTGTACTCGGTTTTGACTCGGTCTCGGAGAGTGAGACTCATCATTTCTTCCAGAGACCAGCCGAGACCAGCAGAGTAAAAAACTCATAATTATCAGCTTCCATTCAGTCATAAAACCTCTTCGCCAGGCCAAATATATACAGTATTTTCTTGAAACATGAATATCTTAACAGCCTTTATATCTATTATAGACATGTTTGCGCAGTGGCGAACCTATAGGCCTTCAGTGTGTGACAGGTTTGTGATTCTGAAAGGACAGCAACTGTAATACCAGCGCACTCATGTAGGAGATTGCACTTTTTTGTAAAACACAAAGGGCCAGTGGTGTAGTGGAGGGTATATGCAGGTATAAGCCGTATACACACTTTTTTTTCAGTGGGCATTGCGTATACTCACTTCTAAATCCCTACTGATACGATTGATCAATTATGTAGTACAATAGAGAAATCATGCACAAAGTAGCCTACACAATTGCAAAGCATGTGAAATATATTCACATGCGTGCTGCACACATAGCCTAGTTTCAGTGGAATATCATCTGCAGGCAACAAGAGTGTGCAGCTCTCGACTGGTTTTGGCACGGAGCAGCTCACAGAAGAATAACATCAGTAGCCGGTAGGGTAGGAAAGACGTTTGAATTTATGATATCTACCAGTAAATGCGAACTAAGGCAACAATGGGTATGCAAACCAGATATTGAAAAAGTGTTGGTTAGTAGGCTATTTGTGATGCACAATTTTCATAATGTGCTGTTTGCATCAGGGGTGTAGACATGGATCCGCCTGGGTGGACAGAGGCCCACCCACTGGGGAGCTAAGCCCTGACAGGTCCACACAATCAGATTGATGTGGTTTAAACATTGTTGTGGACTTAGACCATCACATTTTCGTATTTTTTCTATATAAAAAAAGTGTGATTTTGAGAGTGACAATTTGAAAAATCTATAGAAAAACTCATTTAAAAAAAGATTAGAGTATACCCACTTCTCCAGACACCACTGGGCCGATGGAAAGACAGCAGTCACACACAGCATGATGTTAAAGGATAAGCAGTCCATAAACTCAGACAAAATAAGCCAGTAGGTCCCAATCATAAGAATACAAAAACACAACCATTAAGCAATTCCCAATCAAAATGTACAACTATTACTTCCAATTGCAAAAAACATTTCATGTTTAGCACACAAAGTAACCGGTGACCTAAAGTTTAAAGTGGAACTGACAGCGTTTTAACTACTTTGCGGATATGAAACAGTAATAATTGTAATAGTAATAATTTGTAGACTGGCTCTATTTCCCTCAGCATGCATTTTTTCACTATTCTGAATGTCTAAATAATCCATATGTTGTTCTGAAAAATGAACACACAAATACTGGACATTTTGAACTCTTATTATGGTGGTGATTTCTCAAAATTACAATCATAGCCTTGAATTGGACTCAATTCTGGTCTCAGTCTTGACTCGGTCGTGGACCCCTTATTTTCCTCCCGGTCTCATTCTTGACTCGGTCTCACCCCCCCCTCTGGTCTCGGTCTTGACTCTGACTCAGTTTGCTCCAGTCTTGGTCTTGAATCGATCTCGCTTTAAGTGGTCTCGAACACAACACTTGTTAGGGTTATGTAAAGGGTTGTTATTTGGTTCTCTTTATGCCAGTAGAAGGAAGTGAAAATTAAACTTTGTGTAGACAGGTGCAAAAAGTGTGTGTGTGTGTGTGTGTGTGTGTGTGTGTGTATGTGTGTGTATGTATGTGTATGTATGTGTGTGTGTATGTGCATGTACACGTGTGGGTGTGTTCTATGTAGGTAGAGTGTGTGTTGTTTCTGATTGGCTGAATGAGTGTTGCTCCTTGTCAATGGCCTCCCCAGTAAAACTAACTCTCTTCCTCTCTCTTTCGTTTTCCTTTATCATAACCTGTTTTCACGCCACTTTCAATCTCAACCTCTCATCATTCTTTCTTCTCCACTTTCATGCTTTTCCTCTTATGTAATTTCCCCATCACTTTCCTCTCCTTTCTCTCTCTGTCTCCATTCATCTCCCCATATATCTGACCCTTGGTTCATACTCACCCCCCTCACATCCGTTCCTTCATCACCTCACCCCTCCCACTTCCTCCCCCTCCCTCCCTCATCTCCCCAACCTATTCCCTTGTGTTACCTTCATCACCTCACCCCTCCCACTTCCTCCCCCACTCATCTCCCCAACCTATTCCCTTGTGTCACCTTCATCACCTCACCCCTCCCACTTCCCCCCTCATCTCCCCAACCTATTCCCTTGTGCTACCTTCATCACCTCACCCCTCCCACTTCCTCCCCCCCTCATCACCCCAATCTATTCCCTTGTGCTACCTTCATCACCTCACCCCTCCCACTCCCCCCCCCCCCTCATCTCCCCAACCTATTCCCTTGTGCTACCTTCATCACCTCACCCCTCACCCCTCCCACTTCCTCCCCCTCCCCCCTCATCTCCCCAACCTATTCCCTTGTGCTACCATCATCACCTCACCCCTCCCACTTCCTCCCCGCCTCATCTCCCCAACCTATTCCCTTGTGCTACCTTCATCACCTCACCCCTCCCACTTCCTCCCCCTCCCTCCCTCATCTCCCCAACCTATTTTCTTGTGTCACCCTCATAACCTTCCCCCTCATCCAGCCAACATACTCACAGTCATCATCCTCTCCCAGCTGGTGTTACGGCGTCAGAAGTCCTCCTATAACTACCTCCTGGCGCTCGCCGCCGCTGACATCCTGGTCCTCCTGCTCATCGTCTTCGTCGACTTCATATTGGAGGACTTCATTTTGGGCGCGCCCCTCCCTCCCTCCCTCAACAAGGCGGTCCAGGTCCTGGAGTTCTCCTCTATCCACACCTCGATCTGGATCACGGTCCCCTTGACCGTTGACCGTTACATTGCAGTCTGTCACCCGTTGAAGTATCATAGCGTTTCCTACCCAGCCCGCACACGGCGGGTCATCATGGGTGTCTATACGGGGTGTTTGGTGTCTGCGGCGCCTTACTACTGGTGGCCTGAGCTGTGGCATGGTTTACCTGGAGGTGGTACAGGAAGTGGAGGAGGGGGGAGTAGTAGTAGTGCTGCGCAGCATGTGCTAGTCTGGGTGCACTGCGCGACCGTTTATCTCCTCCCCTGCTCCGTCTTCTTCTCCCTCAATGCCATGATCGTCAGGAAGCTCCAGCGCCGTCGCAGCTGCTTCCGCCTCCGCGGCTACTCCACGGGCAAGACCACCGCCATCCTGCTCGCCATCACCTCCGTGTTCGCCGTCCTCTGGGCACCACGCACCGTCATGATCCTCTACCACCTGTACACGGCACCGCCGGCATCCCCAGGTCCTGCCCGCCTCCTGCACCTCCTAACCGATGTGGCGAATATGCTAGCTCTCCTCAACACCGGGGTCAACTTCTTTCTCTACTGTTTCATCAGCAAGCGTTTCCGGACCATGGCGGCCACGGTTCTCCGGACGCTGTTCCGATGCCGGAAGCAGCCACCGCCATTCTACGCTGGACACAACTTCTCTATCACCAGTAGCCCCTGGATCTCCCCAGCCAACTCCCACTGCATCAAGATGCTGGTCTACCAGTACGATAAGAACGGCAAGCCCATCTGCATCTCCTCGTGAGGGGGGAAGGGTGGAGGGTTTCCCTTACGACGACCGACCTTGATGACGACCCGGTTCTGGGACTCTTTGAGCTTTTCAAATGTCAACAGACATTTAGAGTGGAGGGCTGGAGAGGTGGAGGAGAGGAAAGGAGAGTTAGAGGAGAGGTGACGAGAGGTGGAGGAGAGGTGGAGGAGAGGAGAGGAGAGGTGGAGGAGAGAAGAGTTAGAGGAGTGTCTGAGAAGAGGAGACAGAAAGGTATGTGGTTGGTTTATGGATACGCAACAATCTATCTATCTAAAGTGAGAGAATGAATGTTCGAGAACAAGAAGAAGAAGAAAAGTCGAGAAATCAAGTAGGAATGTTGCTGAGCTCCAACAGCAGAACAGAACTCACAACCTAGCGACAGTGTTGAGAACCATCTCTCCACTCGTTCATGCGGAAAAGCAATCTAACAGACTGATCATTCAGCTTGGATAACTGCCTGTCTCTTTGACTGTGTTACTGCTCAGACAGTGTCTGACGATGCCCTTTGACTTTGATCAGGGCCTGATAAACGAGCATCATGGCGGCTGCTTATTACCGGGTTTTATAGCCAGCCATTTGTAAATGGGAATAGAGAGTGACAACTGAGGAATTCCTCTGTGACATATCAACCTCGCTTTGACATTGGGATGTTTTTAGTACCGTCTCTATTGTACTGCTGTCGACGGATGGGGAGGAGGTGATGGGGGAGGGACGGTGGGAGGATAAGGGATGCTCTGAATCTGAACAGATGGCCATCATCCAAGGGGAGCCCTCTCCAGTCAAAGAGTTCATCACAGAGGCTCTCAGTAAGAGAAACACCTCACCTTTGAAGAGGCATCCTAGGCATTGACTCTCAAGTATCAGATGTCCTTGTCCTTAGTGGTGGCCTTAGCTGATTTGGTTCGCAATCACTACCGTGTACCCTGACGCATTTTGAAACACCGCTGACATTTCCTGTTAATATATAGTGGGTCTCAGAGGTGCGTTAGACATTACAAGGGACTTTTTATTTAAAAACGGATCTGTGGATGTTAAGATGTTCTCAGTGAGTGAATTCATCAGAGATGGAAGGGATTGGGAAAGATTACCATCCAATCAGGAGCAGTCTCACAGGTGTTGTTAAGGATAAGTAGGAGCTGCTTGTTGTTGTCATGGTGAAGGATTATGGTAGACTTGACTGTTACTGTTAGATCAGTGTTCCTTAATACCGATCTTGAAGACACACATGGTGTGCAGATTTTTATTCTAGCCCAGTACTAACACACTTGATTCGGCGAATCAACTGATCATCAAGCAATTTGAGTGGTTGAATCAAGGTGTGCTAGGTGTGTTAGTGCTGGGTTAAAACAAAAACCTGCACATTTTGTGTGTCTCCAGGACCAGGATTGAAGGAGACTGTTGTAGATGCACAAAAATAAAGCAAAAAAATTACAATACTTTGTCGTAGTGGTTCCATAGGATCAGTAATCTTGTAACCATGGATTCCAAAATTTTAGAAGGAGGACATTTCTACCATTTAAAGAGTATTCAGTTAAGTGTTGGTTGTCTTTGATGACTGTCTTAGTCATATCAGAATGAATGTACTTGTGTAGCTCCTCAGCCCCTTAACTTTATATTACTGACTAGATGAAGTTTGTGTGTGTGTGTGTGTTTGTGTCTGTGTGTGTGTGTGTGTGTGTGTGTGTGTGTGTGTGTGTGTGTGTGTGTGTGTGTGTGTGTGTGTGTGTGTGCATCTCTCTCGCTCTCTCCCTCTCTCTCTCTCTCTGTCTGTCTGTCTGTCTGTATGTGAGAGAGAAAGAGAGGGAGATAGAAAGAGAGAGATAGAGAGTAAACAAGAGAGTAAACGCCAGAGGAGGTGTGGTATATGGCCAATATACCACGGCTAAAGGGCTGTTCTTACGTACGACGCAACGCAGAGTGCCTGGACACAGCCCTTAGCCCCTTAGCCGTGGTATATTGGCCATATACCACAAAGCCCTGAGGTGCCTTATTGGTATTATAAACTGGTTAACAATGTAATTAGAACAGTAAAAAGCCAGTTTATTCTCGCTGTCACACTCAAGGCTGTATTCTCCTATTCTCTCTTCAACCCTCCTCTGTCTGCCTGGCACGAGGGTGAGAAACCAGATGACTGAGAAACTATGAATCTATGAAGCCATGACAACTAATTCAACTGTGTTCTGTCCTGCCCAGAAACAACAACCTATAAAACCAGCCAGGTTGCTCACGATTCACTGCGTAATTCGACATCTGTCCAGGTAAGCAGGACATCGGAAGAAGACTTCAACACCATCCGCTAGGGGCAATGGTGAGCGTTATTACCATCATGTAGGCTTGGGTTTTGCTAGGGCATTGTGGACGGGGATGGCGGATGGCCATAAACTCGTGCACCGGGAGTCGCGTGTTCAATCCAACTGCTAGGTTTTAAGCTTATCCCAAACCTTAACAATTACCTTAACCATTCTGAATTAATGCCTAAACAGTGGAGTTATTTTTGTTTTCACCCTATCCCAACCTTAACCCTAAACTTAACCAATTTGGAATTAATGCATAAACTTAACCTTCTAAATCTGAAGTTTATGGACAAACGTTGGATTCTGCAGTAAGACTGTGAGAGCTTGTTGTATAAAACACATCTCTGTTATTTTCTGTCCACTGAACATCCACACACGCACACACGCGCGCGCACACACACACACACACACACACACACACACACACACACACACACAGATCAATGCACAAACACTTTGTGGACCTTAGTCCTCAGGCAAAATGTGTATTCATCTATCCACATTGGGTGAAACTAAGCCAGAGGGCAAAATACACATAACATCTCCCTTGAGGGATTCAGCATGACATGGTTTCATAAATTGTGTATTAAATGCATTCTATATCTGATGAATGGTAGAAATATAGCTCCATCTCTCATATTTGATATCTCATTGTAGGCTGTTACCCTCTCAAAGTTGTCCACTGGCCTCTGGAGGGCGGCACACTCAGGCAGGTCACCCGTGATACAAGTCAGTATTTGACGTTCATCCATGTCTGAGGTTGTCGGGAGATGACATGGAAACTGGCCACTAGGGGCAACAATGAGCTCTGTTACCTTCAAGCATCTGCCTCCGGTTCCAAAGGTTGCATGTTCAAATCCAGGGATAGAAAGTTGTTTTTGATTGTAAAAAATAAGCCTATCCCAAACCTTAAACCTTACCTTAACCATTCTGAATTAATGCCTAACCTTAAGAATCAGGAGTTAATCCCTAGACTTAACCTTGGAACAATAAAGAGAAATAACCAAACACTTCAACATTTTACATTTGAGAAACATGGATGAACGTCTAATTCTGACATGAGACTGTGAGAGCTTTCTGGGCACACTAACCCCCATAGAGGGCCAGAGCTTCACACCCCTATCTAAACAACCATCAAAAACAGGTTGTTTACTAACCTGTTAACCTGTCAACATCACTCTTATCACAGGCTTTAGCAATTATCTTTCCAATTACACACACACACACACACACACACACACACACACACACACACACACACACACACACACACACACACACACACACACACACACACACACACACACACACACACACACACACACACACACATTCATTAAAAATAACTACTCCCCAGTAAGGAACCTTCAGAGTATGGAAGGGAGGTAGGTTATTAGAGCTACAGTTGAAGTCGGAAGTTTACATACACCTTAGCCAAATACATTTAAACTCAGTTTTTTCACAATTCCTGACATTTAATCCTAGTAAAAATTCCCTGTCTTAGGTCAGTTAGGATCACCACTTTATTTTATGAATGTGAAATGTAAGAACAATAGTAGAGAGAATGATTTATTTCAGCTTTTATTTCTTTCATCACATTCCCAGTGGGTCAGAAGTTTACATACACTCAATTGGTATTTGGTAGCATTGCCTTTAAATTGTTTAATTTGGGTCAAACGTTTCGGGTAGCCTTCCACAAACTTCCCACAATAAGTTGGGTGAATTTTGGCCCATTCCTCCTGACAGAGCTGGTGTAACTGAGTCAGGTTTGTAGGCCTCCTTGCTCGCACATGCTTTTTCAGTTCTGCCCACAAATTTTCTATAGGATTGAGGTCAGGGCTTTGTGATGGCCACTCCAATACCTTGACTTTGTTGTCCTTAAGCCATTTTGCCACAACTTTGGAAGTATGCTTGGGGTCATTGTCCATTTGGAAGATCTATTTGCGACCAAGCTTTAACTTCCTGACTGATGTCTTGAGATGTCGCTTCAATATATCCACATAATTTTCCTTCATCATGATGCCATCTATTTTGTGAAGTGCACCAGTCTCTCCTGCAGCAAAGCACCCCCACAGCATGATGCTGCCACCCCTGTGCTTCACGGTTGGGATGGTGTTCTTCGGCTTGCAAGCAGCCCTCTCTTTTCCTCCAAACATAACGATGATCATTATGGCCAAACAGTTCTATTGTTGTTTCATCAGACCAGAGGACATTTCTCAAAAAGATCTTTGTCCCCATGTGCAGTTGCAAACTGTAGTCTGGCTTTTTTATGGCGGTTTTGGAGCAGTGGCTTCTTCCTTGCTGAGCAGCCTTTCAGGTTATGTCGATATAGGGCTCGTTTTACTGTGGATATAGATACTTTTGTACCTGTTTCCTCCAGGATCTTCACAAGGTTCTTTGCTGTTGTTCTGGGATTGATTTTCTTTTTTCGCATTAAAGTACGTTCATCTCTAGGAGACAGAACACGTCTCCTTCCTGAGCGGTATGACGGCTGCGTGGTCCCATGGTGTTTATACTTGCGTACTATTGTTTGTACAGATGAACGTGATACCTTCAGGTGTTTGGAAATTGCTCCCAAGGATGAACCAGACTTGTGGAGGTCTAAAAATTTTTTTCTGAGGTCTTGGCTGATTTATTTTCATTTTCCCATGATGTCAAGCAAAGAGGCACTCAGTTTGATGGTCGGCCTTGAAATACATC